TCCATATAAGGAAGCTATTGAAGATCAAACGTTCGATACACTTTTTTGGGACCCCCTGTATATTCTGGCAATCTCGAACTTTTGGCATCGTGATTCTAAATTTTGCAACTATCTGAAGGCTAGTTCAAATGATCAGATTTCCACAAAGTTGCTTACTCCCAAATGTATTTCTGCAAAATATGGAATTGCACCAGAAATGGTGCAAGCCTAGAGTTTGTAAAAAAAATTTCGCAGGTAAAACTTTGCCCTGCATCTGTAGTATGTTGCGAGACATGAATATCTACCCAATTTGACAAATGTTAGGAAATTTGAGACCCTTGAGAGGAAGTGCTCTAGACGATTAGCTGGCGTTTATTTGCAATGATGTTGCAGCCAGCCCTCTTAATTTCTGACATCCGAATCATTTGTAGCTATTATGGTGGTAGCTTTATATGTAGCTAGGTAAGAGAAAGGAATGTGCTTTGTGAATTACTCACAATGAGAATCACTACTGTAAAAAGTTTACCGAGCAACCATGGTGCCGCACTTTGCTGTGGATCAGCAGCTTCAGCAGTTTTAGTGATCGTGTCAGGCAGTGGAAGAGAATGTCGTACCATGGCACCGTACAGACCGTATTCTGGAAAGTACGGTCAATTAATTACGGTTAATTCGAGTGCAATTACTTCAAGATTGATTCTCTCGCTCTCACCTGCCATTATAGTGCTCTTTCCCCACGTCTTTTCAGTTTTTCTCCATTTTGCTCGTCTGTTCTGGAACCATACCTAAAATTGATTCTTTTTTAGAAAGTCTTTCAATTTTCAAATCCTTTTGCGACTAGCTGTTCTTTGCCGGTGTTTTCCTTGACATTTCTCTAGCGCCTCCAGGGACATGTGGCTAATTCAGCTACCACTTAACCACTTTTGTGCAGCAATTTTCTGCGGAGCCCTCTTCTGCGGAGTCGAAATTAGCTTTTGAGCTAATTAAGCGAACGCTCATCAACATATGAACATTTTCAAATGACACACGGCATGTCGGTGAGTGTGACCGTTTGAGAGTCTG